TTCCTGCAGCTAAAGGCACCAAAGGCTGGAGGTCCAGGGACATTTCTGTGTTGAAGATTGCCTTCAAGTACAGAATGGCTTCCAGAAGCCTTTGCCCCAGTCACTTACAGAATTAGAAGGAACATGCCCGGTAGTGGCCCATCTTAAAGCACTGTAGCAGTGTTCCCTTGTCTGCGGGCACTTTTCCTACAGCTCCTGAGAATCCCTCCCTCATGCTGCCACTGTGCTTAACTTTCGCCAAACTGCCTGGAGTCAGGAGGTCCGGCCTCCCTTTTTTTTTTTTTTTCCCCTTTTTTTTTGTTTTTTTGAGACAAGGTTTCTCTGTGTAGCCCAGGCTGGCCTTGAACTCACAGAGATCTACCTGCCTCTGCCTCCCGAGTGCTGGGATTAAAGGCGTGCGCCACCACCGCCCCGCCTCCCGCCTCCCGCCTTCCACCTCCAGCCTCCCGCCTCCTGCCTCCCGCCTCCCTTTTCTATACTGTTGTCCTGCTGTATTCAGACAAGTGCTCTGCCTCAACCATTTCCTCGTCCTACTTCCAAACAGGAGCAGCTGGTAAATTTCCTAATATGCGGATCATTTCCTGGTTGTGGTGACTACATGAACATTACCACTGAATACAATACATTTTGGGTACTTTGCCATACACTGCTCATCTGCAAACTGAGATTAGGTAGTTGTGTTCCCGAATACATGTCCAATTTTAATGTAGGGGGAGGCATAAATATTTTGTAGACCAAGTTGAAAAGGCAGTCATTTCTCATTTGAATGAAGAACTGAAATGAAATCAGTTTCATAATGGGAAGAATGAGGCTTAGAAGAAGAGCGCTTGAGTTGCCAACAAGGAAGGAAAAGGGCAAGGAAGGAAGGAAAAAGAGAAGGAGAGGTAGGGGAGGCAGAAGGGGCGGGAATAATGACTCCTGGTGCAGTGGCACACCCCTGTAATCTCAGTACTGGGGAAGTAGAGGCAGGAGGATCAGCATGCAAGGTCTTGTTTGCCCTACACAGTGAGAGCCAGCCTAACCTGGAGAAGATCCTATCTCAAAGAGCTGGGGTGGAGAGGCGAAAAGAACAAGAAAAGAAAAGAAAACCAGGGCAAAGGTCTGAAAATAGATGTTACTTAGCATTACGATCTTGTTGCCAGCACTTCCCCCCACCCCCTTTAATTGTGCTGGGCATGTGTGTGTGTGTTTGTGTGCACACCGGCGTCCTGGCACTTCTCAAGGTTAAAGGACAAATTCAAGTGTTGTTCTTCTGGTCCAGGTCTATGGGTTGGGCTTGGTTTTTACTCACATAATACAGTATTAGCTGAGCTGCCTGAGTAGGGAGCTGCAGACATCTGCCTCCCCAGGACTGGGATTGTAAGCTCAGACCACCCACTCAGCTTTGGTTTCCGGGGACTCTAGGAATACGACTGGCCTCCTCATGCTTGTGAGGCAAACACTACTGACCGGCTCTCCCCCAGCCCCAACTTGGAAGACTTTTTTTGAGGTTTAACTTTCTTGTAGCTTCCTATGTAACAGCAGATTTTTGCTTCTTCTTTTTGCTCTTTGTTCTTCTAGCTCTTAAGTTTCTGTTGCAGTGAATATTTCTTTAAACAGTTCACTCTAGGACTTTCTGTTCTTGCTTTGAAGTAGTGTTTAATGTCTCGGTGGCTCTTATGAAAACTAGAACCAGTTACAAAAAATCATAAGGACAAATGTAGCCAGATACCAGGCTCAGGACAGGACGGCTGCGAGGAGAGGTAGAGATTCTGATTGCGCTTCATAGGAAATTTGACCTCTCAAGGTTACTCTGCTCAAGTAGAATGCCAAACATGAAGTTGTTATGTGGACAGTACTGACTTGGTTCAAGTAAGTGTGCAGTGTGAGAGGCGGAGATGAGAGGTCTGAGTCAGCAGTGGAGAACTCAACAGGTTATGTGAGCAAAACAAGTTAAGTGGGAGTCACCTGAAACTGCAGGCCTAACTCTTGACGTCATCAGTTAGTTCCTCGCTGTTAGACCTGCTTTTGTAGCTATTATGTTTGCTCAGCGCTTCTCAGGTCAATTTAGCAAATTAAAATCATCAGGACCATTACAAAGACCTAATGACTGAAGGCGAGTTCTTTCCCTGTTTCAACAATATGAAAATCAATTCGTGTTGAGAATTACCATTTGGTTTTGGAGAAGCTCCGTGCCTAAACTGGACTCGGATTTCTAGGAGACATTTCTTGTTTTCTGTTGTTGAGGTGCCTATATTCCAAGTGTCTGAATGGTATCTGCTGCTTTGTGTTTTCATATAGGGAAGGAACATGAGTGCTGAACTGAATTTTCAGGTGCCAGGTAGTGGATAAGAGCAGGTGGTACTTAGAGCTAGTCTAATCGCCTGTTTGAAGCTGCCATTGGTATCAAAAACACCTAAAGTGGTCTAAACCCAGAAAAGGCCAATTTCTCAGATGAGTCTTTCCAAAACAAATTACCTTAAAGGTCAGTACCTCATTCTCAATTGCTTTTCCATATCTACTTGAGTTACGTGGTTTATATATGTCCTGCAGTTTGGCATTCAGAAAAAGTATTGACATGATGGTTTGGTGTGGGGTGGTTGGCATGGGTTGATTTTTTTTTTCTTTTTTCTTTTTTTTGAGACAGTCTCAAAAAATCCTAGGTTGGCCTTGAACTTGCTATGTAGGCTAGGATGACCTTCAGTTCCCTATCCTCATGCTCCCCAATATGAGATTACAGGTGTGTGACATCATGCTAGATGATTTCATGTGTTTTATGCATTTAAATTTGCAATACAACCTGACCTAAAGAGTAAAGAGACATTTCTATTACAATAAAGGACTGAATTAATAAATTTTTGAGCATGATTAATGTGTATCACTCAAAACCCATTTGAATATCTGTGATAACGTAGACATTGATAAAGGTTAAAAGAAATTGGTGAAACTGTCAGCTCTTTGTTGCTGATGGGATATAAAGTGATGCAACTTTATTGGAAAATAGTTTGACAATTCCTTGAATAGTTAATATGGTTTCCTTTTGACTACAAGATATGAAAGCATATTTATAAAAATTTGCATACAAATATTCATAGTGGCATTACTCATAATAGCCCAAAAGCAGGAACAGCTCAGATGCTCATCAACTGTTAATTGGATAAACAAATATGGTATATCCATAAAGTGGCATGTTCTTCAGCCATAAGAAGAAATGAAGTATTGATTCATGCTACAATATGAGGGAAACTTGAAAACATCAAACACCACTAAATATATGAATCTATTTGAGACCTTCACAGTAAGCAAATTTATTTTAAAAAAAATTAGTAGTTGTCGAAGTCAGAGAAAGAATGGGTAGAGAACGACTCCGAAAGCCACACATTACGAAGCCAGGCATGGAGAGACGCACTTGTCATCCTTAGCACTGGGAAGGAATCAAGAAGATCCCTGAATGTGGAACCTGCTGGCCAGCCAACCTAGCCTGATCAATGAAAGGTCTCAGGGAGACCTGGTCTCATAACACAAGATGGGAAGTTCCCAAGGAATGGTGTGCGTGCTTTACCTTTGACCTTCACACACATGTGCACACACATGTATACACACTACAAATGTTGTATCAGGTGCATAACTTTGTGAATTTATTAAATACTCCTGAATTTTCCTTACCTAAAAGGGTGAGCTTTGTGGTTTAAGAACTATATTTCAACATATAATTTTACCTATATGTGCTTCTCCATATAAAAAAGTATTTGTGTGCATGTTTGTGTACACATGTATTGAGGGCACGATGTACACTTGTGAATGGGTGTGGAGGTCAGAGGTCAGTATCAAGTGTCTTCTTCAGTTGCTCTTAACTTTACTTTTTGAGGCAGGGTCTCTCACTGAACTTGGAACTAATTTAGCTGCACTGTGTAGCAGCACGCACCAGAGATCTTCCTGTCTGTCTCCCCAGTGCTGAGATAATGAATGTGTACCATCGGGGCTTTGTTTGGGGATGCTAGGGATGGGAGCTCAAGTCCTTGTGCTTCTGCAGCAAGCATTTACCTGCGGAACCATCCCTCCAACCCCTAAAACAGTATTTCTAATGGAATTTTAAGAACTTTTCACATACATAATGCTAGGGCTTTCCAAAACAGCGTAAAAACTGACTTTTTCTTAAAGCCTTGCTGTTACAAGGTATAGTATATGCACTGCCTGCAACTTTCTCTAGCCTGCATGTGAGACACTATTTCCAAAGTGCACCAAGACTGAAGTGGCCTTCAGCATGTACATTAAAGGCCGTGTTCTTAGATTACACACACACACACACACACACACACACACACACACACACGGAGGGAGGGAGGGAGGGAGAGAGAGAGAGAAAGAGAGAGAGAAAGAGAAAGAGAAAGTAAGTTGGTCTCTTTTCTGTGTGTTCCCATCAAACCTCGAGATTATCATATTAAACCAGTCATACCACTCTTGGATTTTCATGTTTATTTTCCTGTCTTCCCCAGAAAATTGTAAGTTCCTTAAGAGAAAAAGAACAACCTTTTGTCTAGTGTAGTCCCATTATCTCTTACAGATAATACTAGCTCACTATTTGAGTAAGTGAATTTTAATAACATTTTACTAGATTCGTAGGGGTTCTGTGAAAAAGTATACAGTGTCTGCTTTGCTTTCTCTTAGAACACAATCAACATGGAATATTTTCAAACTTAGAGTATGCTGTAGCATACTTGTATGTTAATTAGAATTATTTTTATTACAGTTATACTTATGAAATAAAGAGAATGGCCCATCTGTGTTGTTAAATATACCATTTGGTAATTGGCACATAAATTCCATATAATATTCAAGTAGGTATTTTTAGTACATAGTCCCATACATATGCCTAACTAAATTATAAAAGCTGATTTCTGATAAAGATAAATTATTAACTGCGCAATCATAACATGGTGGTGTGGAAAGTAGAAGTGAGGTTGGTGCTCCCATAAACCCTCACAGCTCCTCTAGATAGCCATCACGTTCTCTTCTTTCAGATACAGAGAACTCCAGCTAAGTACAGAAAGCAGAATATCTGAATTTCTCCATCAGAGTAAGTTGAAGTCCTTTGAAAGTGAACGTGTTCAACTCCTGCAAGAGGAAACCGCAAGAAATCTCACACAGTGCCAGTTGGAATGTGAAAAATATCAGAAGAAATTGGAGGTACCTTTCTGCAATTTTCCCGTGACATAAGCAGAGTGTGTAAGCTTCCAAAGTATGGTATTTACATAGAGCCTCATTCTTCCTAGAGAACTCTCTCTTATCCTCACAACAAAATGAGGAAATTAAGCCAGGAGGAGTTATCGCCCCTGGAATCCCAGCACATTGGAGGCTGAGACGGGTGACAGGTCTGAGGCCACATACCCAGCCAGAGCTATGTAATGAGACCTTGTTTTAAAAACAGAAAGAAAAGATATCTGAATAGCAGAAATACGTGCACCAAAAATGACTAAAATTGTTTTTTAAAAAAATTTAGAAATGGTTTCTTTAATACTAACCACCAAAAGCTTTCAATTACTGGGAATACTTCTGTAAGAAAGCTGAAGTCGCTATGAAGAAAGCGATAGAAGTATAACGGTGTGTGGGAGACAAAACAGTCCTTCTGAAAGGGGGTCGCTGGGATTTTGTGTTTTCCAGTTTTCATCAAGAAAACTGTTTCTACTATTTTAGCATGTAAAGTTTTACATTTGTTTACTTTTGTGTGCGTGTGTGTGCATGCTTGTGTGCAAGGTAGAGGGCATTTGGAAGTCAGAGGACAGCTTACGGTAATCAGTTCTTCCCCTTCCGCAGTGTGGAACTTGGGAAGCCGAGCCGTCTTACTGGGCCAGCTTTCAGCATGTTTTTTAATCCAGCAAACTAATTCTGTGGTACAAGTGGAAGAACAGATAGAGATTAGTCAATATTTTTTAAGAATTTTCTAAAGAAATGAGAGGAAATATTTATTACATTTTAAACTACATGGTATTTGGATGGCAGCTTAACCTAAGCATTTTACATTTCTAGTTTTTCTCTCTGCATATGAATGTACTTAGTTATGAAAACATATAATTATAGGTCAATACAAAATGGAAGATAATGAAACTGAAAACTGGTCAATTAAAAGCCTCTCCTGGGGCCTGAAGAGAGAGGTGACTCAGTAGGTAACCGTACTGGCCGCTCTTCAGATGCCCTGAGTTCTGTTCTCAGCACCACCTGGTGGCTCCCAACCGTCTCTAACTCCAGTTACAGAGATCCAGTGCCCTCCTTCTTCTGGCCTCTGCTGGCATAGACATACACTTAGGCAGAACACTCATACACAGAAAAATAGAATCCAAGAAAACTTTAAACCTTTCATAATTGAAAATTAATCAAGTATTAAAGCATTTCCCCAAATTATAACGTAAATCAATTCTAAGATTTGTTTCTAATTTATTAAATGTATGGATTTTGTATTTGTTGATCTATCATTCAACACTACTTTAAAAGATCTGTACATTCTAGATGAGCATATTGTTTTTGGAAAACAGTTTGGCACTGTGTATTTGTTAGGCTGTATTTTAAATATATAAAATGCTTCATGAACAGATACTCATCACAGTGTTATTTATAATAGTGAAGAACATAACACTATAAATCTCACTCTGGTCACATTAAAAACAGCTGTGTGTCATAGAATCAAGTGATATTTTAGGATTTCAGAATGGATAAAATATACTTTTTTCAGGGTTGGGGATTTAGCTCAGTGGTAGAGCACTTGCCTAGCAAGCGCAAGGCCCTGGGTTTGGTTCTCAGCTCTGAAGAAAAAAAAAAAAAAAAAATATATATATATATATATATATATATATATATATATATATATACTTTTTTCATAGTAGATGGATAAAGCTCCTCATATAACTACATACACTGACTCTTACCAATTTTATTACTGGGTTGTGAACGTAGTTCAGTGGCAAAGCTATTGCCTAGCAAGCACAATCCCTGACACCAGAAAATAAACATAAAATAATTTTTTTTTTGTTTTTTGTTTTTCGAGACAGGGTTTCTCTGCATAACAGCCCTGGTTGTCCTGGAACTCGCTTTGTAGACTAGGCTGTCCTTGAACTCTCAGTGATCCACCTGCCTCTGCCCCTCAAGTTAAAGGCATGCACCACCATGCCTGGCAAAATAAGTTTTTGAATTTATTATTATTGTGTGTGTGAATGATGTGTGTCTGTGTGAACATCTGTGCCACTGCACATCTGTGAAAGTTGGAGGACAGTTGTGTATGTTCTCTGCCACCTGTACATGGTCACAGGACTGAACTCCTCAGGGCACCAGACTTACTGCAGTAAGTGCCTTTATCTGCCACGCTGTCTGGCAAGCCCCACACTAGCTTTAAAAAAAAAGTTGGTAAATGGACTCAGCAGGTTGTCATATACTTACGTAATAATAATCAAAGAATTTGCATCTCTTGATCCTTCTTAAAGAGGTTTTTAAGAAACCCTTTCTTTGCAAAGACATTTCTGCTATTGCCCTATGTGGGACTTACATTTACTTTTTGATTTGGACTCAAGCCTGTTAGGAAACCAAAAATGCTAAAAGCTTGGACAGTGCAGGCTGAGTAATGGAAAGCTGGAGTGCTCCTTACATTGTTTTTATACAGTTCTGTGCTGACTGCCTCCTAACTGATCTTAGGTAGATTTCACACGGCTGCATCTGTTTGAACTCTAACAAGCAAATATTAATCTTGCCCCTAAATTCGTTTATATTCAGCAGATATAATTATTGACAAAGCATTTTATAACCTTCAGTTAAAAGCACCAGAATTTTTTACTTGGCAATAAATTCATGATTTCCTCATTAGTCCTCTTAGTTGAACTGCTTTTTCTTAACATGTAAATAGCTGAAAGGAGAAAAAGCATACATATATCTCTGCATCATCTCTTTCTTTGAGCTGTGAGCCTGAGGAATTCTTACCTCTTTGAACCTTTGTCATTCTCTTCTTCCACTACTAGGTTTTAACTAAAGAATTTTATAGTCTCCAGTCTTCTTCTGAAAAACGCATTACTGAACTCGAAGCACAGAACTCCGAGCATCAGGCAAGGTTAGACATTTACGAGAAACTGGAAAAAGAGCTTGACGAGATAATAATGCAAACAGCAGAGAGTAAGTCTGCCCCACCCCCTTTACTTGGACCATGGACAGAGGAAAGCTAGCATCCTTTCTAAAAATACCTTGGTATATAGTGATTTAAAATGTAAATGCTGATCATTTGTAAAGAGTGTTCTCTATTTTCTGTATTACTTGGTATAAATTTTCAATAGTTAGACTCAAAAAAGTAAATACGAGCTAGCCAGTGGTGGCACACGCCTTTAATCCCAGCACTCAGGGGGCAGAAGCAGGCAGATCTCAGTGAGTTCGAGACCAGCCTGGTCTACAGAGTGAGTTCCAGGACAGGTACCAAAACTACACAGAGAAACCCTGTCTCGAAAAACCAAAAGAATAAACAGGCTAAATTTGGTAGATTTTATGTGTTTAATTGACTCATTCTATAAGTACTAAATTTTCTTTGTGTCGGGAGCTAGGAATAGAAAGTTTGCAAACATTTTTACCTCAGGACCTGCCATGTCGCTCACTGGTAGAGTGCTCTTCTACTCTGTGCAAGCTTTGGATTTGGTCCCTAGCACGGCAGTGAAAACCAAAGCCCCAGCAACACCAAAAGCTGATAGTGGGCATGGGGACACGGTCCTGTTATCCTCCACTCAGGAAACTGAAGCAGGAAGATGTCCAGTTCTAAGCCAACCTCAGTTATGTATTAATGAAACCTTGGAGATGAGAAATAACTAAAAAGAGAGATGATACATGAATTTTGAAATTCAGTAGTACACTGGATTATAATCTTTGATGTTTAATTTTCATGTGTTTATCCCTCCCATCATACTGTCTTGATTTTTTTTTTTTTGAGACAGAAAGGCTTCAAACTTGTTTAAACTTGTTTTGTATAAAGGATGACCCTGAGCTCCTGAACCTCCTTCCTTTGCCAGCCCAGTTGCTGATGATCAGAGCACACTGCACCTTGCTAATGTCACATGGACTGGATATTGAACTTTGGGCTCTATGCATACAAGCTAAACACTCTAGCAACCGACTTGGTCCGGGTTTGTCCTTTTTGTTCTTGTATGTTTTAATTTTGAGACAGATTTCTCATAGCCCATACTAGCCCAGGCTGATCTTGAACTTGTGATCTTCCTTGCCTTGGCCTCTCAAGAGCTGGGAAAACAGGCCTGTGCCACCATATTCATCTGTCTTGTCTTAAATTTTAAGGGTTGTTTTAAATTAACATTCAAATTAGCAATTACTATAGCTGTACTTATTTCTGTTCAAAATTCAGAATTGGCTTTCTTATAAAAGGGTCTTTAAACTTCGCTTGAGTTGAATTAGAATCTAGGTAAGGTTCTCATTATTTGGGATACACTGCATGGAAGGGTTATATTTTGTTTTGTTTTGTTTTTTGTTTTTTCAGGACAGGGTTTCTCTGTAACAGTCCTGGCTGTCTGGGATCTCACCTTGTAGCCCAGCCTGGCCTTGAACTCACAGAGATTCACCTGCCTCTGCCTCTCGAGTGCTGGGATTAAAGGCGTGAGCCACCAGCACCTAGCTATATTTTTTTTATAGCTGTGTTTTATTTCATTCCTATCATTGCCTTATTTTCCATTGTCACGGTCAGTGTCTGACAACTGCAGGAGATTCCAGAGTTACCTGCAGCTTCTTCACTGGTGTCCAGTGATCTTTGTAAAATACAGACTTGACCCTGTCATAGCCTGCTTAATGTCTCTCTGTCGCTTTACTAAAGCAGCACAAACTACTGGGCAGGATCTGAACACTCATAGTCCCAGTACTCAGTACTTTTAAGGTAAGAGGATCAGAAGTTCAAGGCCAGTGTGGACTACATAGCAAGACCCTCTTTTCAAAACAGCCAAACGCATAGAGTCAGACTCATGTTATCTTTCTAGTTGTCATGTTTCACTCTCCCCTTTCATGTCACACTATCATCTACATGTTCCAGACTCATGTCATTGTCCCACTAGACATAGGTCGTTTTGTCTAAGCAGATTAGTAATGGAAGCGTTTCTCTGTGAAAGAGTATCTACAGAAGAGCCACGGCTACTGTTAAATCTGTGCAGTGAATACTGAATGTGTGCCCCATTAAAAAGAGAACAGGGCAAGGGTGTCTACTTTCTCAGCATAGGAAACTGCATTTGCACATGCTAATGAAATAAGGCCAGAAGGAAGGCATAATCTTATAAAGGTCAGAGCTGGGTTTAACTCAGACTTAGGTACTTAGATGTCCTAGTTAGTTACCAAAAAGGACAAAGTCAAGTACAACACCGTAGACGCTGTTCAGGAAGCTGGAGCAGGCGAAGCTGGAGCAGGCCGACTCCAAGTCTAAGATGGGGAGGAGCAGGGAGGATGAGGGGAGGGAGACCAGAAAGGAAAGGATGGCCTTTACATTTTCAAATGAAATGACTACTACATCTAAGTACCAAAATGTGAAGTCATTGTACACACACACACACACACACACACACACACACACACACACACACACATTTAGAAGCCCTCAACTGGAAAAGTTAACATAAAAATAATTTCCTTGAGTAGTGTCAAAAAAGAACAACCATGAAATACTTAGGAGTCAGCTTACAAACACTAAAAAGACACAAAATACTAAGAGTGTAACACAAATTGCTAGACGGTCTTATTAATAAAAACCCAGAGCCAGATGTTGGGATGAAAATTGAGAGATCGGAGGAATAGAACAAGCCAGCCACAAGTTCTTACTGCTAGGAAATCCTCAGCCCAAGAGAGAGCTGTTTCCTGTATACTCACGCCTATATCCCTTTCTGTCCCTGCCATCTCACTTCTCTCTGCCCAGCTACATCACTTCCTCTTTCCGCCCAGCTCTATCACTTCCTGTCTGTCTGTACAGACCTCCAGACCTCTATGGTTAACTAGTGCTTGGATTAAAGACGTGTGTGCCACCACGTCTATCTCTGTTCCTGGTGTGGGCTTGAACTCACAAAGATCCAGATGAATCTCTGCCTCCCGAATGCTAGGATTAAAAGGGTGTGTTCCCACTGCCTGACCTCTATGTTTACTATAGTGGCTGGCTTTGTCCTCTGACCTCCAGGCAAGCTTTATTTGTTAGAGCACAAATAAAATATCATCACATAAGAAAAATAAGGGACCTCTCCCTTAGTGTCAAGAAATCTATCATGAATTCTGTCCTTATGATCTGATTTTGTCTCAAACACAATTCCAACATGCTCTTTCTATATTTCACTTTATGGAAATTCAAAGACTGTAAAACAAGAGCCAAAGTGAATTTGGAAAAAAAAAAAGGGAGGGGGATTACAAGAGTGGTGTTGTGTGCCTTTAATATTGATTGTGAAGTTACAGTATCTGGCTAGTACACAGTAGTCCTGTAAAGACGCACACACCAGTGAGGCAGAGATTGAACTCGGAAGCAGACCCATGTGCACATGTGTGTTTGCTCCTCAACAAAAACAGCAGAGCAGTGGGTAGGAGAAAAGAAACTGTTCAATAAATGGTGCTAAGCCTTGGCCATCCTTACGCCAGTGAGCCTCAGCGTACCAATACTAACTTGAAATGAGGCTCTGTGGAAGAGCCGAAGCTGCAAGCCTTCTGCAGAAAAGGAAAGGATCATTCCCTCTTGGAATTGGGGAAGATCTTGAAGCTTCAGCCTGAAAGCAGTTGCCATAAGAGAAAAAGAGATGGGTCAGACACCATCAAAATCATTTTAAAAAGATGATTAATAAATGAGTACCCAAGGGCTGGAGAGATGGCTCAGCATTTAAGAGCACCGACTATTCTTCCAAAGGACCCAGGTTCAATTCCCAGCAACCACATGGTGGCTCACAGCCAGGATGAGATCTGGTGCCCTCTTCTGTCCTGCAGGGACACATGCAGACAGAACACTGTATACATAATAAATAAATATTTAAAAATAAATAAATAAATAAATGAGCATCCAAGACATGGACCCTAATAAAGTTATCACTGTTTTATATCTGACAACAGAATGATATCCAAAACAAGATTCCTCGGGGAAAATACCAAATGTAAATCAGACAAAGAACTGTTAGTGTCCATTTGTGGTAGACGGAGAAAGATGTCTGTGTCCCAGTCTCTGGGTTCTGAATATTTTAACTTAGATGGCAAAAGAGACTTTGCAGTTGTGACTGAGTTAAGACTCCACAGCCAAGAGTATCCTGGTTATGTGGTTGAGCTTAGTGCAATCACAAGAGAGAAGGAGAGAGGTGGGGAAAGTAAAGGCTTGGAGAAAATCCAACATACTGTACTGTTTGCTTTGAAACTGGGAGAAGGGACTGGACGGTGGTATAACAGCATCTTTGGAAGTAGAAAATGACAAGGAAACAGGATCTTCCCCAGAGCTCCCTCAAAACCGTCAACATTCTGACTTTAAACCCTGTGGGGTCTGGTGGGCTTACATGTAAGGCCCTGAATTCCATCCCCAGCACTTGGGGTGGAGGGATCTTTGAGAATAAGCAGCTGATCTACTTCTAAGAACTGTGTGATAACAAATTTGTGTTATTTAAGCTATAAAATCTAGCAATCTATATGTAATAGCAGAAATAAGAATTTAATAATTCAATACTCAAAGAGTCCATGCAATTTTGAAAAAAAAAAAAGAGTCCAATTTAAAACATGGAGGGTAGCAAAACGGCTCCACAGACAACCACGCCTGCCACCACTAGTTGGACCCCACAGCTGCAGGTTGTCCTCCAGCATTGCTTACATTAGTTCTATTTCCTCTTCCCTCCCTAAAGTTGGGGTGCCTATGTTTGTGATGTGTACTAAGTCTACATTGTTATCTGATCACTGAGCACCTCTTGTCAGTACTGCTTCCTCCCGCGTTCTCTCTGGAGTGCCTGCCTCATCACCCCAACTCCTGCTCAGCCATCATAGTAGTAGAGTAAGTTCATACTCCATTTCTGGAGTGGATAGTATTAATTTTGTGGAATATTACTATAATTTGTCAGGAATTCTCCTTGTCACAAAACTCTGAGCCATTCTCCCTATTACTGCAATGCCAGCATCTGTAGCACGAATCTTAAAAGGTCTTATTAGTAAAAGCAAACCTGGAGCCAGGTACTGGGGTCAATGCTGGAAGATCAGAGAAGCAGAACAAGCCACAGCTACCCCACCTTGCCAATTCCTCAGCTGATCCTGTTTCCTCAGACTGGAAGGCTGTGTCCTCATATGAATGGGTTTCAGCTAAACTGCTTCTCGAAAGCCTGAAAGCTTAACCAGCTCTAAATTCCTGGTCCTCACACCTTATATACCTTTCTGCTTCCTGCCATCACTTCCTGGGATTAAAGGCATGAGTTACCATGCCTGGCTGTTTCCAGTGTGGCTTTGAACTCACAGAGATCCAGGTGGATCTCTGCCTCTGGAATGCTACGATTAAAGGCATGTGCTACCACTGCCTAACCTCTATGTTTAATATTATAGCTGTTCTGTCTCTGACCCCCAGATAAGTTTATTGGGGTGCACAGTATATCAACCACAAGCATCAACAAGAAGCCATCCTTTATGTCATCTTACATTAATCTATGAGTTTCTTATTCACCATAGAACAAAATCCTTGGTCTAGGAAGATTTTCATTCCATTCACTATTAGAACTAAGCTTCCTTCTCTTTCCAGACTAAATTCAGCCATATTTATCACAATTACTAAAACTGTATACTCCACAAGATTGTGCCTCTGCAAATATAATTCTCTGCTGTGCCTTCTCTGAATATCAGTTTCCACATGTCTTCTAGGAGAAATAGTGGCGCTCAAATACAGTTGCATTGTGCTCTGCTTCTAAGGCATGCTATACAGTCTCTTTAGTATCACTTCCCATGTTGTATAGTACTTTGTTTTTCTAATTGAATCCCTAGAATAGTTACTGTATGAGTTATTAATCATTGAACATTAAACTCAGATTTAGCACTTCTATCAATATCCAACTCTGCTAACTAAATTTACCTCTCTCTGCTCTGAGTTTTGAGCCATTTAAGACAGACAAGAATCGCTGGGTGGTGGTGGTGCACACCTTCAATCCCAGCACTCGGGAGGCAGAGCCAGGCGGATTTCTGTGAGTTCGAGGCCAGCCTGGGCTACCAAGTGAGTTCCAGGAAAGGCGCAAAGCTACACAGAGAAACCCTGTCTCAAAAACCAAAAAAAAAAAAAAAAAAAAAAAGACAGATAAGAATCAAATATGTATCCAGTGATAGCTCTGCTTCTGTTCTAGCATTGTGTTAGAGATTACCTTGGTTATTTTAGTTAGAACCAAAAAGGATAAAACTAATTATTATGGCCTTTGATGACTATTTTTTAGTCCACGTTTTCAATGAAATGTCATTACAGGTCAGCAAGATGCTCAGTGGATAAGGGCACTTGCCACAAAACCTGATCACCTCTGTTCAGTCCTCAGAACCAAATCTTGCAAGTTGTCCTCTGACCTCTACACAAATACATGCACACACACAGAGACACACAAACACACACACACCAAAAAAAAAAACCAATAAAAATGGCATTACTTTTAAACTTTTACCCATTAAGAAGCTGATCCATTAGTTCAAATACCTTATAGGCAGTTCTGTGACAATTGCAATATTTTTTAAGTTACTTTCCCTGAAATTGTTTTACAGTTACAAAATTAATGCCAAACATACCTTTCAGGGATTAGAGATTAGCTCTGAGGGTAGAATTTCAGCCTAGCATTTAGGAAGCTTTGGATTCAATCCTCAGCATCGTGTAAACTCAGCATGGTTGTATATTTCTGATTACAGTACTCAGGAAGTGGAGGCAGGAGGTCAGTATCCCTGGGCCATCCTTGACGTAGTAAGTTCAAGAGAAGCCCAGGCTACATGAGAACATGTCTCAAAAACAAAACAGAACTTACCTTTATTAAATTAATTTTATAATTCTGTTGAATTTTATGATATATAGTTCATGTTAAAAGTCTTTGAATCCTTTAGAATACCATAACTGAGTTATTTTGCTCTATAAGAAAACATAGGCTATCAGGTGATGTAATCCTTTAACATCTCCTGAAAATAAATCAGCAACTCGAAGCAAGAATACACTTTAATATGCTTCACCTCTCTCAAATTATGCATTAGCCCTTATGAATGTTCCTGGGATTCTTAATCTGTTATCATCTTTTACCTTTCACTTCTGCTATGATTTTTAAGGAAAAACACTATTTCACATCACATATTTTAATATTTTTCAGTTGAAAATGAAGATGAAGCTGAAAGGATTCTTTATTCCTATGGCTATGGTGCTAATGTTCCCACAACAGCTAAAAGACGACTAAAGCAAAGGTAAAATCAATACAGATTATCTTATCTACTCCAGCTAAGTGTAATTATATAGTACATTTTGATAATGTACTGAGTTGAATGATAAAGTTACTTGTTCTTAATATTCATAAATATTAAATTGTTCACAAAGTAGGACATGATAATAACCATGAGCTTCATCTATATTTAAGTGAATTTAATGGTTAGGAGATGTGTACATTAAAACTTTCATGGTATTAGATGCAGTAACTTTTTAAAAGCCATTTTATTTTCACATTAATTTCAGATAAATATAAATGCTTTGTAGCAATAATTTTCAAGTTAGAACTAATTAATTATGCTACCTTCAGTTCTTACATCTTGTGTTTATTATTCATCTGCCTATGTATGTATTTTCATATATATAATATATATTATGTGTAACATATTTAGTAAAATAGATATATTAAAGAAGGAAATGGAGAAAGCATATAAACTGTAGTGAAACCTATACAGTTTTTTAGTTACTTGTCTTGTCACTGTGACAAACACCTGACTATGGCTACTTAAGAAGGAGTGGTTTATTTGGGCTCACGTTTCAAGGGTGCACAGTCCATCCTGATGAAGAAGTTGTGCCAGCAGGAGCATGAGGTACCTGGTGACATTGCATCCACAGTAAGGAAGCAGAATGTGATGAATGCTGTCGATGGCTCCATTTCTCCTTTATATTCATTTTAGGACGCCTACTCCTGGAATGGTGCCACCCACGTTTAGGACAGGTCTTCCAACCTCAGTTAATCTAATCTAGATAATCTCTTACAGACATGCTGAGGCTTGTCTCCTCGATGATTCTAGATCCTGTGAGATTGCCAGTTCATATAAAACATGACACCACATGAGATGGTGCACACCTAATCCCCACCTCCAGGCAGGGTGGTCTTAAAACTTGAGCCCCGAGTTCTACCTGAGCCATATAATCCATTCTAGGCCAGTCTGTGGCCTACATAGGAAGAAAAAGAAATGAAGAAAGAAGAGAAGGAGGTGGAAAGGCAGGTAAGGGGAGAGGAAGGAGCTGGAAGGAGAGAGAAAAAGAGCACTCACAGCGAAGGCTTTGTGCAGACCCAGAGAGCTGCTTAGAGGATGTCCTGAGCACACGGTGCAGTCCTGCTTGAAAGCTGTCTCCACTCCACCAGCAGACACCTGCAGCCGTGAGTGCTGCTAGCTCCTGCTCCCTACGTTCATCCTGCTGTATGTACAGAAATGTCCCTGGCTCCCTGGCTCCACTTCTGCCAGACTGGCCGGCCCTCCATAGTGTGGCCCCGCGCCAGCAACCGTATTTGCCTCTCTACTCAAAATGACAGCATACTACATCTCCACTTGTAAACATCTGTTTTCTCTACATCACAGTAACATGTTTCCCTCTTTCAGGAAACATCATTGCCCGTGTAATTTCCTCACCTAGATAGAAGTTCTTCATGGTCAGCAACCACATCTTATTCTCTGACCTTGCCTAGCTCAGTGGAGAATACCTAGTTCAAAAAACATTTTTTATCCGAATGTTCAAGGTTTTAAAACTAATAGTCTATTGTTTTATGAGGGCTAGTTTGGAAATTCAGAAACATGCAACATAAGAAAATCTATCTTATATTTATGAAGATTTTTTCAATTTTTAAAAAAATAGATTTTGGGGTTTTTTGTTGTTTGTTTGTTTGTTTTTCAAGACAGGAGTTCTCTGTAAAAAACTGGCTATCCTGGAACTCACTCTGTAGATCAGACTGGACTTGAACTCAGAGATCTGTCCTGCCTCTGCTTCCTAGGTGCTGGACTAAAGGCGTGCACTACCACCACCCGGCTAAGATTTTTGTTTCTTAAATGTATGTGTGTGTGCGCACACATGTATTTATGCACATGTCTGTGCACGTGAGCTCAGGTCCCTCCAGAGTAGGAAAAGGGGTGTCAGATCTGTGTGTGTATATCTGTGCACGTGTACATCTGACAGACGCCATCAGATCTCCTGAGCCGCAGTTACAGGTGGTTGTCAGCTGCCTGTCGTGGAGCTGGCGACCAAGGGTGGCTCTTTACAGAGTGGTGTCCACTCTTGACCACCTAGCCGTTAGCCCCAGTTCTTGTAGATAGTTTGAAGAGGTGGATGTAACAGCATAAAGAGAATAATTTATGACTATCTAAGGTAGTTTGGGATGCCACTTTAAAGGAAGTAAGAAGGAATGCTTAAGAACTTACATTGTTTATTGATTAAATATTTGAAAAATCTAGATCACAAATAGATGAAGAGAAAGTGTCAGTTTGTAGCTAGAATGATTAATTTTGTTTAGTAGAGGTTTGGGTGCTTCTAAGTTATATATTATTTGAAAACTTGGTTCCTGTCCTATCCCTTCCTGGTGCTCTCAAAGGCTGATGTGACTGATTCAGGATCTTTTGCAATTTTTAAATATATCTGGTTTTTTTAGTACATTGTTCCCTAGAAAAGAATAGAAATGTGGGTAGTTTCATGAGTAAGAGACTTCTCTATTAGCAAAAAAATGTTTGGTAAAATACTCAAACTTGAAGCTTAATGGGAAAGTATATTTTAGCATCTGAATCCTATAGATGTTTCTGTAGGAAAGAGAAGCTCACTCTCTGAATCCTATAGATGTTTCTGTAGGAAAGAGAAGTTCACTCTGAATCCTATAGATGTTTCTGTAGGAAAGAGAAGTTCACTTTCTGAATCCTATAGATGTTTCTATAGGGAAAGAGAAGTTCATTCTCTGAATCCTATAGATGTTTCTGTAGGAAAGAGTTCACTCTGAATCCTATAGATGTTTCTGTAGGAAAGAGAAGCTCACTCTCTGAATCCTATAGATGTTTCTATAGGAAAGACAAGTTCACTCTCTGAATCCTATAGATGTTTCTGTAGGAAAGAGAAGTTCACTCTCTGAATCCTATAGGTGTTTCTATAGAGAAAGAGAAGCTCACTCTCTGAATCCTATAGATGTTTCTGTAGGAAAGAGAAGTTCACTCTCTGAATCCTATAGATGTTTCTATAGGGAGAGAGAAGCTCACTGTTGTAAGCTTCCATAGCCCCAAATGCTGAGCTTGGAAATTAAATCTGATTGTTGCTCTTGCACCTTGTGTTTTAAAGAAGTTTCTAAAGCCAGAAGTTGGTTTGTTTGGTTTGGTTTGGTTTTGAATTCTCAAAGACTTAAAGAATCACAAGTGATTCATAGTCCAAATGATCTTCACTGTCCAAATATTTCTGAAGATTCTATCACTGAGCTATCTGGGAGCCTGAACAAGTGCCTAATGGGTATGCTATTAATACCCCTGCCAGCTGGTGCCAGGCATTCTTCTCCTGGTGAGCCAGAGGGCTATTTTGAGGAAGTGCTTCTCAGGTCATCTAAACTGAGGGAAGAGAGTGTAAGTCTAGACATCCAAGAGGACATGTATGCATCCCTACACCTATTCATTCAACAACTCTTATTGCGGGCCTACTATGTGCACAATTTGAGTATTGGCACCTAATCCATTTTAGGATTTGATGCACTTTTGGAGATTGCACAATCAACATTTGGTTCCTTAAGGGCTATTTATATAGAAAGCAATTGCCTTGTGCCCTCTTGAAATTTATTTAAGATGAGCAATGTAGCCTTTAGAGAATCTATACTTATTAGTCTTTGGCATTTGAAATTAAAGCAATGCAAATTTAAAGTGAGTTATATAAAATGACTCATAGCAGTAAATGGAGTGCTTGCATAATAAAGTTGTCATTATATATCAGCTTATGCAAAAGTATATTAAAAATTCAAAGGAACATATTTCTCAACTGCTATATGATATATCTCATTCATACTTAATTTGATTTAAAATTTTATATATTTAACAGCCAATAATAAATATTTTATGTTAACATTTAATTGATTATAAATATTTTATTTTAAAAATTAGTTAAATTGCTGTTAATCCCATTTTTCAAAATAACCAATCAGAAATTTATACAAACATTAATTTCCTTGCACTTTTTGGACATTATACATTTTTAATAGTTTAGTTTTTAACTTTAGCATTCCATCATGAATATTTACCTATCAGTGAATATTCTTCAAAATATACTAACTGGGGAATAAATAGTAAATAGTTGCAGTGGGAGAGGGCATGAGAAAGGAGAGCTGAGCATGAGAAGAAAGTAAGGTGGCGTGTATGTGTGACATAGCCTGCTGAAATCTGTTACATTGTATTAGCATATACCTTATAACTGAGTTAGAAATCATTTTCATTTTTGTCCATGGGTTTTCGAGACAAGGTTTCTCTGTGTAACATCCCTGACTGTCCTAGAACTCTCTTTGTAGATAAGGCTGGCCTTGAACTCACAGAGATCCACCTGCCTCTGCCTCCCAAGTGCTGGGATTAAAGGTGTGCACCACCATGCCTGGTCAAAAACCATTTTCAGTAACTACCTAAAACTTTGATTTTTTTAGGCTTTTTGTTTTTGAGTGCTATGTTACTGTCAGTAAATAGTAAAGCCCATGAAAAAAATTAATAATTGCCCCTTGCTACCCAAAGAATATTTTAAAAGTTAAATTGAGAAAATGTATATGAAGGTCACTCCACAGTGTTTGGCATAGGGTAAGTGTCCAGTAAACACTGGGTGGTTTATCAGTTAGTACAGTCTTAAGTCAGTTGTACAGTTAGAAAAGCCAGGATTCCAAAATTTCTCCCTGGACACCAATTAAAATAATTCAATTAAAATATTTTTGTTTTAAATTTGTAATGAAGCCTTTTAAAATACATGACGCAGACATGTGCTTTCTTTGATGGGAACTGTTTCTGACGGCACCCTGGTGCCGGTTTCCTGTGAAGTTACAGTGGCAGGGGTTTGTGTTCCTCATTTGAAATATACCTAAAATCTCTGATCAACGTCAAGTGTACAGTAAGGTAACTCACACTTTGAAGTTTCATGTAAGCATAAATAAATTACTAAAATTTTTAAAACTCTTTCTGGTACACAATTGTGGAAAGCCAAAGGGCCTTGTATAATTAGAGTGAATTAAAATAAAATTAACTCCTTGACATGACAAAACTTGAAAATCTGAAGTAATGTTTTTGTTTGAGTAGCAACTATTTGAAAGTAGCAAACAAGATTTTCTGGTTATGTGTATTGCTCATGCTAACGCACTACACGGGTGACACCCAAGCACTATTGTCTTGGTATGTACCTCTTTGATTGGGCTGATCTGGATGCTGGGAGACATTTTTAGAACATTTTTAATTTGTAAAATTTACTGCCTAGTGTAGAATTTTTTTTTAATTCTTTTTTGTGAAAAAAAAATTCTTTTTTGTGGAACTGGAGAAATGGCTTAGAGGTTAAGAGCACTGCCTGTTCTTCCAGAGGGCCTGAGTTCAATTCCCAGCAAATATATGGTGGCTCACAACCATCTGTAATGAGATCTGATGCCTTCTTCTGGCCTGCAGGCATGCATGCAGATAGAATGCTGTATACATAATAAATAAATAAATATTTAAATTCTTTTTTGTATTTTCTTATTTTACTCTACACATGTGAGAGTTTTGCCTACACATACGTGCATGCTGCATATGTGTGCCCGGTCCCTGTGGTGAAAGAGGAGGTGTGGGCTCCCTGGGACTACAGATACGTTTCTAGGGCATTTTGTACCCAAGCTGTAGTACCTTCTTCTGCGTTGATTGTCCTAATTCAAACCAGGACACTCATTAGGATACTGTCCCTGTGTTAACACTAAAGCACTGGCACAGAATCTCCTGGTTTATGTCATAGGATCTTTTTCATTTTGTCACCATATCTGCATAAGAGCATTATGCTAAAACAGATTAGCCAAACCAAATGAGCGGTGTAATGTACTTCACTTGACATTGCCAAGTCCCCATCGTCTTCAGAATGCTGTTTAAAGGTGACTGTTGCATCTCATTGTTTCAAGCATCTCTCATCTCTTAGTAGAAAACACAGAATTATATTTGCATAAAACCCCTCTCATCTGTACTTCTTTGTAGTGGGATTGGACCGTGTTCGTGCTTTTGCAGTCAGTCTCACACAAAGATTGTCCGCGGCTTTAGCAGACATTTGCTGAGAAATTGTTCTTTAGAAAAAACTCTGAAGTATAAGTTCTATGAGAAACAAAAGTATGGAAAACTACACCCAACACACACACACACACACGCACGCACGCACGCACGCACACACACACATATGTATGGATGTATTTGAAGGGTGAGAAAGAAGATGAAAGTGTGGTGGATAATAATCAGGATTTTTTAATTAACTAAACAGAAGTGGAGCTAGTGACCCAAAATAGTTTACAAATATAGTTAAAAGCAACATTTAAACCAACAAATTTAACATTAAGATATTTCATTGGAGCTAGTTGTGGTGGCTCATGCCTTTAATCCCAGCACTCAGAGTCAGAGGCAGGCAGGTATCTGAGTTCAAGGCCAGTCTGATCTACATAGTTTTGTACAGAACTATGTTCCAGGACAGCTATAAAGAGAAACCCTATCTTGAAAACCCAACACTATACGTTTGTTGTATTGACTCACAGAGAAAATGTGATTTTTTTTTAATAAGCTGAATTTTTTTCCTGTACAAAAATATGTCAAATTCCATCACAATGTTAATGTGTAAATTGCATTGCCATACATAAAGTGTGGTTTTTAGAGTGAAAAAAATAGTAATAAAATGAAACTATAAATTCCTTTAAAGCCTATAAAGAAGAAAGTGGTTGAGGTTCCCTCAAATGGAGTGGCGGGTTAAGAGGCATTGAACAGAGTGGAGAAAGACAAAGGCTGGCCGTTCATTGGTAGAAAATGGTCTCAAGTTGTGTTGTAGTGATACTCGCACACCTCTAACTACACTTTAAATTGGGATTTGTTGTGTTAGTTGCATATTATTATGTATTTCGGATGTAATAGGTTTTTTTAAAGAATGATTGTCAGAGAGTGGAGGCTGCTGCTTTTTCATCTTTAATTCCAGATGATGGGCAAACAGCATGCCAGATGTTAATATGTAAAAACAGCAAAGGTGATGGATGATGTGTAGACATGCTGTGAGATCGCTGTATAAACCTTTTTCAGAACTTGTATTTCTTACTTGGGTGAGCAGTTATTACACATAAATGGATACTCTGACGTGAATTTTTTTGTCTTTGGTTGGGAAATATACATACAATGGGACTCATTCTGTTCTGTAGTGTTATTTGGTGGAAATTTAAAAAAAAAAAAAGAATCCCATCTTACCATTGTAGAAAGTTCTGTCCATTTGGAGTCCATGAATTCTATATTCATAGGTTAAATTGATAACTAAACTAATATAGAACATGAAATGCAGAGTAGGTCTTGAGAACATGGTTTCTCAGCATTACTAGTACTTTTTTAAAAAAAAAAAATGTGTTTTCATTGAGTCGTTGGAATTATTTAAAAAGATGAAGCATTTTTCCTTAAAAAATTGTTTCTTAAAAATGGAATGTGATGGACTGTAGAGTGTGATGGTATATGCCTATAATCCTAACACTTGGGTTGACGTAAGGGGATCATGAATTGAGGCTAGCCTAGGCTACAGGCTGAGCCAGCCAAGAGAGGGGGTATGTATTGGGGTACCTCGAATCGCTGGAAGTTCTTTGCCTGTCCTGCGGTTGTTCTTCACATCTATTCTACACATCTCTTCCACCTGCACTTGCATAGGAAACCTGTTCGATTATGTTTTATTTTTAAATTCATAATATTGGCCTTTATAAACACTTGCCAAAATGTAAGCTTATTGTGCCTAATAGTCAACTACTTTCCTTGCTGCTTTGTAACTGGAAACTTTTGTTAAATGATAAAGCTATAAATGGCTCTCTTTTTCTGTCAAGCTAGTACCATAATGTAAGTGTTCGAATCTACTTTGGTCGGGAAGGATTAGAAGCCATGATCGTGGTAATCAGTGTATGACAATTATCATATGAAAATGTTAGGCTGTTTCTTTCAGAGTTCTGGGTTGGCAAAGTATTGCTCTCCTAGTGTTTTGTTTTATTTTCTTACTTTGTATTATCATTTTCTCTGTTCATATATATGTGTTATAAGGAAACGATGAGTGGGTTTTCTAGCACACAATTATCTGTTGAGTGTAGGTAGCATTCTACTTTTGTATGCATGAATGCTTTTCATTTTATTCACCTAGTGTCCATTTGGCAAGAAGAGTTCTTCAGTTAGAAAAACAAAATTCATCCATTTTAAAAGATCTGGAACATCAGAAGGACCAAGTGAGACAGCTTTCACAAGAGGTGAGTGGCTGCGTCGTCGGAAGACATGGGGAACCGTGGCGCTCGCTTGTCTGCACTCTTTGCCAATGCCTACAGTTAATTGCTGGGCACTCCGAAATTAAGCTGGTTGCAAAATTACTTCAAATTTCTGAGATTCACTGAATGTTGAAACTTTAGGGGAGACAACTTAGAGTGGATGGCAAAACAGAACAGAAGGGAGACTGAATGCTAGACACACAAAGCTTTAACTACTGAGAACGTCAACTGGTAAAACAAGTTGGGCAAATTTGACTGACATTAAGTTTCTCACTGACAATTTATTTTTAAATACTTGATTTTTTTATGTTTCTGTTTGATTTAAAAAAAAACAGCCGTTTTGGCTTTACATTACTTTTTACTGAAAAAAAAAATCGTACTATGTATTTTGGTCATGTTTTTCCCTCCCCCAACTCCTCCCAGATCCCCTCCACCTCCCTACTCACCCAACCTTATGTTTTCAGTCTCTTAAAAAAAAAAATGCCAAAGCAAATCAAAATGAAACAAAAGGTCCACAAAAAGATATTGAGTTTGTTTTGTGTTAGCCAATTATTCCTGGCATGGGGCCTGCACTGTGTGGTTGGTATACCCAGTGAGACCCCGTTAGAGAGAACCTCTTTTCCTTTTACCAGTGTGTATCAGTTGCAGATAGTTTCTTGGTTAGGCTAGGGCTGTCTTAGAGTTACTGTTGCTTCAGTGAAGCACCATGACCAAAGCAACGTGGGAAGGAAAACTAGCTACACTAACTAGCTACACTTCAGCATCACTGGTCGTCAGTATCATCATGGAGCAGCGAGACAGCGTGAAGGCAGACATGGTGCTGGAACTGAGCCCTACATCTTGATAAGCAGGCAACAGGAAGTGGTCTGTCTCACTGACATGGCTTAAGCATATATAAGACCTCAGAGCCACCTCCACAGTGACACACTTCCTCCAACAAAAACACACCTCCTAATAGTGCCACTCCCTTTGGGGACCATTTTCTTCCAGATCACCACATTCCATTCCCTGGCCCCCAAAGGTTTATAGTCATATAATGCAAAAATGCATTCAGTCCAACTTCAAAAGTCCCATAGTCTATAACAGTCTCAAACGTATTTAAAAGTCTAAATTCAAAGTCTGAGATTCATGCAGTCTCTTTATTGTAATCCCCTGTAAAATTAAAATAAAAAAACAGATCACGTATTTCCAACATATAATGGCACAAGATATGCATTACCATTCCAAAACACAGGGAAGGGAGCATAGTGAGGAAATACTGGACCAAAGCAACACCAAAAACCAGCGGGGCAAACTCCAAACTCTGTATCTTCATGTCTAATGTCAAAGTGCTCTCCAGATCTCCAACTCCTTTCAGTTTTGTTGACTGCAACACACTTGTCTATCTTAGGCTGGTTCCATTCCCTGTTAGCAGCTCGCCTCAGCAGGTATCCCATGGACCTGGCATCTCCAACATCTTGGGGTCTCCAAAGCAAGTCTCCATTCAAGGACACCCCTGACACCTGCTAGGCCTCAGCAGCTTTCCTTAGTCTTAGGGGCAAATTCCATAGCCCTTTCTTCTGTCTTTAAAGCCAGAACCACATGGCCAAAGCTGCTAAGTTCTGCTGTTGGCTGGGGCTGAACATGGCCCCCTCATTCAATTACATCTTCACCAGCTTTCTGTTTTGGATAATTTCCTTCACTGCAACCTTGGCTGTTCTGGAACTTGCTCTGTAGACCAGGCTGGCCTCAAACTCAGAGATCCACCAGCCTCTGCCTTCAGAGTGCTGAGATTACAGGTGTGCACCACCATACCCAGCTCTTAAGCTTTTCTTTCTTTCTTTCTTTCTTTCTTTCTTTCTTTCTTTCTTTCTTTCTTTCTTTCTTTCTTTCTTTCTTTTTCTTTCTTTCTTTCTCTTTCTTTTTTTTCTAAGCTTTTCTTTAATTACTTTTTATAAGTTGGAAACTTAGCTGGGTGGGATCTTGCCCTGAGGTCACCACTTCCTTTATTCCATTAATCCTTTTCTTAATCCATTTATCGCCTTTAACCAGGATTTAGCTCTATCTACTTCCTGGTGCCCCTTTTTTCAATGTGTACATTTTGTATTTTTATTTGCTCAGCTTGCTCCTTTTTGTTATAAATCTTCATCAGAGTTAACACTAGTAACCACATGACAGTGTATACTAGTCTGTTTTAAGATTTCCTCTGCCAACGGAATTAATCCAAACTCTTCACTTTAGCCTCAGGCAAACTCTTCTGACAAGGCCAAAAAGCAGCCATATTCTTCACCAAAATATCACAAGAACAATTTCTAGGCAACACACTAAAATTCTTTTCCTCTGAAACCTTTCATCCAGCCCCCCAGTTCAAATCACTCTTAGCACCACTGTCTTCCATGCTCCTACCTGTATGGCCTATTAAGCAGCACTTAAAGCATTCCAAAGTCCACATTCCTCCAGACAAAAACATGGTCAGGCCGTTCACAGCAATACCTCAGTCCCTGGTACCAACTTCCGTCTTAGTTAAAGTTTCAATTTAACATGATTTGAAGAGACATCATGACCACAACTCTTACAAAGGAAAAACATTTAATTGGGGTGACTTACACATTCAGAGGTTTAATCTATCATCATCATGGTGTGACAGGGTGGTATGCAGGCAGACATGGCGCAGGCAATAGAAAGTGGTCTGATCTCATTGGGCATGGTTTGAGCATGTATGAGACCTCAAAGCCTACCTCCACAGTGACACACTTCATCCAACAAGATGACACCTACTCTAATGAGGGTGCCACGCCCTTTAGGGGGCCATTTTCTTTTGAACCACCACATACATCATCTAGGTTCAGTACACATCTATGAACTCACACAGAGGCAATGTAAAGTAAATATTGGCGAACATTTGACTATGTGTCCCTTTCTCTTTAATTGAATTGATCTTTGTGTATGTTTAAATTTTAATTTTGGTTGCATTTAACAACTGCCTCACAAAATTCTGCAAATGTACTATTGCTACCAGCCATCTCTAGCACACTCCTACAAACATAAAGGAATGAAATAAGGGAAACGAGCTATGGCGGCTCACATGTAACCTCGGCACTCAGTAGGCAAAGGCAGGAAGATCACTAAGAGTCCGTGGTCACCCTTGGGCACTAGGAGAAACCCATGTCAAGGGAAAAATAGTCATCAAGAGAGGAAGGAAATCCCAGCCCTTGGGAGGCTGAGGCAGGAGCATTTCTGTGTGTTTGAGAGCAGCACTTTAAATGGCAAGGGCCAGGCTCCTCTTGGAGTTTCCTTCCTGCTGGGGTGGTAAATGCCTTGATGGAGAGCATCTTAGGGAGGAGAGTGCTAGTTTGGCTTCCGTGGTACAGTCTGTCATTGAGCAAACCAAAGCAGAAGCTGGGAGGCAGAGGCCACAAGAGAGTGCTGCTCATTGGCTTGCTCCTGGGCTTGTGTTCGACATTTCTCATACAGCCCAGGCCTACCTGCCTACAGATGGTACCTCCCACAGTAGGCTGGACCCCTTTACATCAGTTTTCAATCAAGAAACTGACCACAGATTTGTCTGCAGACCATTTTCATGGAGGCAGCTCCTCAGTTGAGGTTTTCTCTCCTCAGGTGTATCTGATTGACAACCATGATTGGCCATCTCAGAAACATAATGGGACTATCTCAAAAAAAGCCCAATCTCCCAAGGAAAAAAAAGATTGTTTATTTACTTACACATTAGACCACTATATGATATAATGAGATCTTTCTTGTTTTAATTTCATAAGACTTTTTCAAAATAAAGCATTAAAATATTCATATAGCTGTACATGTGTACATTTTTATACTGTAAAAACCACCTTCTTGAGCATTCTGTTAATTTATATGGTCACCTTTTTACTTTTATCCATTTTAATACATGTTCTGGTATCACTATAGTTTTCTTATTTTGCATTTCTCTAATATCTACTGATATTGAACATTTATTCAATTGAGATTCTTTGTCCTCCGTTACTCTTCCTGGAGAAAGTGTCTGTTCACATTTTTGTCTCCCTTATCAGATTGTCTTCTTATTGAGTTTTGAGCATCATTTATGCAGTCTAGATACAGGTCCTTTATCACATACATGGTTTGCAAAACTTTCCTGTCTCAGGGTTATCTTTCTGTCCCCTGATGGTATCTTCTGAAGAGATGCTTAGTGAAGTACAATGTATTGCCACATTCCTCTATAGACAGTTTTTGGTGTTACATCTAAAATATCTTTGTCAAAAGTGTCACAAGGACTTTTGTCTGCACAGTGATAGTTTTAGGCCTATGATCCATTTGTGGTTATTTTTTATGTAAAGTAGTTTTCGAACAGAATGAAATTCACAGATTCTCACAGAAACCAACTGTTCTAGTGCTTGCGAAGATCAGTCATTCCTTTACAAATGAGCTGACGTCTGAACTCTTAATTCCTGGGAAAAAATGGTCTCTACGATTCTGAGATTGCATTGAATCAATAAATAAAGTGGAGAAAAATGGGCTATGGGTGTGGCTCAGATTGCCTTAGCATGGACAGATCCCTAGGTTCAGTCTTACAGCATGGTTTAAAAAACACGAGTGGTGCATGGACAGATCCCTAGGTTCAGTCTTACAGCATGGTTTAAAAAACACGAGTGGTGCATGGACAGATTCCTAGGTTCAGTCTTACAGCATGGTTTAAAAAACGCGAGTGGTGCATGGACAGATCCCTAGGTTCAGTCTTACAGCATGGTTTAAAAAACGCGAGTGGTGCATGGACAGATCCCTAGGTTCAGTCTTACAGCATGGTTTAAAAAACGCGAGTGGCCATGAGTGGAGAAGAGAACTAGGGACCTGACGAGCTAGAGCTGCGGGTACTCTGCCCCATGGACACTGTACGTCTGCTCTTATTTACTAGGTCATTAACGTTAGCACTGTCACCTTTAACTTTGGATTAGGGTCAGCAAGGTATGTTTTCACCAGAAGAATAAAATGTATGCTTACTGTAAGTAGAG